TACAGTCAGACCTGGGATTCCATAACAACCGCTATAAGCTCTAGAGGTTCTGATAGTCTTGTAATCTGGTCTCTATGATGAGGTTGATGACAAGGAAAGAAGTGGGAAGTGGCTTCAAATAACCAATTTGTCTTTCCCAAGAGTACCTCATACCTCCCATCGTATCTCTCCAGTCTAATTATTAAAATTATTAATCTGTACTTTCTCTCATGGTACTGTTTCCCCCACCCAGTCCCAAGTAGGTTTCTATGCTACTAATCATTTATCTGTTGCCCTTTAACCTCCACAAATCATCAGTCATTTTCACACCATGCTAAACATTCCCTAGCTGCATTTGAAAAGGAATTATTAACTCTGTAGACATTCCCATTCAGCTTCCTTCCTGTACCTCAGCACTCAAATGGCTCCTTTCTTTCCAGACATGATAAAAGCTCTTCCCTGGTCCTGTTCTCACCAAGGGAGGAAAGTGAGTCACTCTCTTCAGATAGACCTATCCCAAACGCCATCCAAACATGGATGGCCTTGGGTCAGGGAAAAACATAATTTCCTGAATTTCAAAAGGACACATAGATGCTATGCTAAAATGCTAATAACACCTTTATTAAAAAGCTAATAATGAAATCTAAAATTCTAGGAAATTCTAGGGCTGAGATGGCCAAGAGCATTTTGAAGCTGATCCAGGTTATTCCATTTGTTCCTTCCTTCTGTCTGCTCCAAATTCTCCTACAGTGTCTCACATCATCAAACTGTAGTTGGTCCAATGTTGTCCAGTACTCCACATCCTGGGTTCTCAACTGTCATTGACTATTCTTCTTCTTGAGCAATCTCCCTTGGGCTCCAACCACTCCAAATCATTGAGGGCTTTTGCTTCCTAAATCATATTGCTGTTCACTTGACTTACTTTCTCTTACCTTCTCTTTTTTGAACTATTTGGATTACAAATATCTATTTAATTGGGACTCTAAAGCTATTTGCAGAGAAAAGAAAGGAAGAGAAAAACTCAAATTCTTGGCCATCATGAATCAGAGACATGTAGAAAGAACGTATCAAAAAAACATAAATATTTCACAGGAGGAGGTATATAGTATACTGCAACTAATTCAAACAACAATGACTTTAAACCACAAGAAATCCAAAATAACTTTGAAAATATAAATCAATCTATTTCTAAATTAACTCTACAACAAAAAAATTCCCAGAAAACAACAGCAGAGAAGGAGCAGATAAAACAGATAAATGGATATAGAATTGAGAATAGAGACTTAAAGATGGAACTTAACAAAACAAGGAAACATGATTTAATCCTAGTGGGGGGAAAAAATCACAAGAATTTGAAAAAAACAACTTATCCCTTAAGACTACAAAATAAATCTAAGGACAAGAAAACAGATTGGATAAAATGGACTATAGAGATGTCAGGAACATTGGAGAAAAAGGAAATGATAAGAGAAGTGGAGAAAAAGAAAAAGAAAAAGATTTTCAACAAACATGGAAAGGCAGAAGCCCCGTACAAAGACACTTCACTTGATTTACTTTTTATATCTACAACAATATTTACGAACATACGGAAAACCTTTTTGATTCAGCTAAATACATTGATTAAGAAAGATACTGGGCAAAGGAAAAAGACTAAAGTGGAAACCAAGAAAATAGATGATGGGACTTTCCAGAGAGAATACTTAAAAAAGAAATATTTGTTTGAATATGGTTAAAGAAATAGAAAAGTTTTGGAATATATATGTCATTGTAAGAGGAATAAATTCCCTAAATAATATAATATGCTTTTTTCCCTTTTTTGTTCTCTTTCTTGATATGAGTAATATAAAAAAGGTGAAATGACTTAGATAAAGGAAATGTTTTAGATACTTATATGTGATTGAATTTAAGAAAATTATAATGGATAAAAAATGTTTTGAATAAGAGTCAAAGGACTAGATGACTAGATGTATTAAATGGAATGTTTAAAGATTAAACATATTTTTAATTATGGTTAAAAATAGTAAAAAATTTAGGAAATAAATATATATTAGCTTAGGAAGGATATATATTTTAAGTAGTATGTTATTTTTTATGTTTTTTTTAATCTTGCTCTCCTTTTTTTTCATTGTTTTATCTATTCCTTAAGAAATATAAAAGTGTGAGATGGTTCATATGGAAAAATAGTTAAATTTTTAAATGTAATTAATTTTTGAGAAAATCTTAACCAGTAAGAATACCTAGAATTTGGTGGGAGAAACAAATTAAAATAAGGACTGTAACTGGGTCTATGATAAGGCAACCAGAATGATTGGATAGAAAAGAAATATTATATTGATGTGATTATTATTTTTAAAAATATTGGGAAAAAATTATATGTTTAATTGTTATCTATCAAAACAATAAGAATTGTATTAATTCAATGTTTGCAAAAGAGGATATTTTGGGAAAAGAGGAAATCAACTAAAACCATTATGTGAATTAAGGATTATAGAAATCAGTTGTTAATGATTGTTTTACAAATGTAACCCAGACAACACGCTGTTCACCAATTATTGTGATTTATGTTTAAAAAAAATTAATAAAATATATTACAAAAAAAAAGGAATGGAATCAGGCCATAACTGGTAAAGGGAAAGAAATGTTTAATGTTTCAGCAAACTCTTATTCCCCTAAGGGGATAAATTGTCATCCCTCACTATTTATTTGCAACTTGAAACTGCGTTGTAATCTCAGGGAGAGAAAGCATTATTGTGCGAGAATTATGGCATTACTCCATTGGAAAAATGTGAAAGCTACAAGAGTCATCTTTCACTCCAAGCTGTGATGTGGTCAATAACCCGCAAAAGATAGGATTCGTGTAACATATTAAACAAAGTATGTAATAGCTTAATGTGATGGGTGAACACAGAAAAAAATAATTCTAAAACCTTTTGTAATGAGAAACACCTAGGAACTTGCAATATAGTGGGAATAAGAGGCAACCCATTATATTGATCTGACAGGTGACATTCAGTATTATCATATGACTTTAAAATTCAATAATGTATGATCCTAATCAGCTTCTGCCATTCATTGGAATGGAATTGTTCAATGAATTTATTGTTTAGATAGTCTTCAACTTACCATCACAATTGACCCCAAAATTTATGTTGCTAAGTGGAATTATTAAATACGTTTTGCCTCATTTTACAATCTTTCTTGCCACAGTTGTTAAGTGAATCACTGCAGTCGTTAAATTAATAACATGGTTGTTAAGTGAATCTGGCTTCCCCATTGATTTTGCTTGTCAGAAGTCGCAAAAGGTGCCCGGGACAATGCAACCATCACAAATATGAACCAATTGCCAAGTGTCTGAATTTTGATCATGTGACCATGGGGATGCTGTAATGTTCGTAAGTGTGAAAAATGGTCATAAGTCGCTTTTTAAAAAAAAATACCATTGTAATTTTGAACGGTTACTAAACAAACTTGCTATAAGTCAAGGACTACCTGTATTACTTTTTTTCTTATTTACAAGGAAATTTCTATAATATATAAGAGGAAATCCACTTTTGTTAATTTTGATTTGGTAATGCCCTTTTTAAAGGTATTTTAGTATTTATGTCTTTAGATTTGGTTTTGAAAGACCTTAAAAGGAATGCTTCACAACTTTTCTGGCTGTATGAATTGCAAAGCTATTGAACTAATTGTCTTACAAGTGAAATCTGCCACAAAAAATGATGTTGGCCCTATTATCAGCCATCTAACATTCTAGAAAATATGGCTGCTGGATTTAACATTTTCATTTCAATATCACAGCTAATATTTTTGACTGAAAAATTGATGCTGCCATATATAGAAAGAAGCAATAGAGAGATAATTGTTCTCATGGGCTTGTAACCAGAAACATTCATCAAGAGGCACAATTTCCTAAAACTGACATTTCCAAAAATGACTCAATCTGGTAAACACCAGTGTTCCAATCATGGCAATTATAGAAAGAACATGCCCTCAAAACATTCATCTGCTGCTCTTCATTCAAATCAGGCCATAGAGGCAACAGACGTTGAACCTTCTTGTATGACTGGAGAACAGCATCAGGAATCAGAAAACAAGGGCCCAAGTATTCAAAAGTATGACTGCTTTAAATTTCTAACATGGAATTGAAATTTCAAACTTACGATAGTGCCTTAATTTCAACTGCTTTGGATCAGGGCCTTTGGAGTCATAACCTCAGGCAGTAAAGAAGCAAAGTGATAGAAGTAATTCAATAACTGAAAGAGGCCAACTTGAAGAGTTATCTCCGGATGGGATGACTTTCCTTCCTGATAGGTAGTATGCTGCTGTTCTGATGTGCTTGCTTGGAGTATGCTTGCCTAGAGGAAATAAACTGGACTAAGGCAGCCTATCACAGAATGTAGGAAGTAGAAATGTGTTCCTTTAAATCAATTTTGACCCCTGGTGATTGTCAGCATAAATCCCTGCAGTTTTCCTGGCAACATCTGCAGTTCTTTTGGCAATATCTGCAGTTTTCTTGGTAACATCTTTGGAACTGGCTATTGTCTTCTTCTTAGGGATGAGAGACTGATTTGACAGTCTCTAAGACAGAAGTAGAACTCACAGCCTCCTGATTTCTAGCCTGATGTCTTAATCATTCCATGGAATAGCTTCCCTAAGGTGCCACTGTAGCCAGCTACTTCATCACTCCACAGGATATAAAATAATTTTTTAAAGCTGCTACTGAATATTTGCCAGTTGTCACCTTAAATATAAGAGTAGGAAGACAGTAGGTATAATTGATTCCACACGTATATCAGAAATGCTTGTCTATTGAATTCTGTTAGCAAACTGAGCTTCTATTGCTATGAGGGGCTGTTTGGAAAGGAGGATTCTAGATTGGATATTTAGCTCATCTGCTTTGATGGTAGTAGAGAAGGAGTAATAAGGCTGCCTGTTCCATTGTTCTCTTAAGAGGAGAGTGTGGCTGCATTAACTCTCTGTCACAAGGAGAATTGAAGCAGTTCAGGAAAGAGCATCAAGCCATGCAAGTCAGCGTCACTGCAGCCAGCAACAGCTCAAATGGAAGCACAGAAAGTCTGGATTCCACCCTTGGAACTTGGACAGAAATAGTGATCACTTTCACTCCAAGGCTGGAAGAAGAGGATTGGGGATCCTTTTACTATTCTTTTAAGGTATGTTATGCTGTCTTGCTGTTTCATGGTTTTGTATTTTTCAAGAGTTTGGCAAAGATTCAATGCTTCAGGATAGGAAATATATTCCTTCGAGTTGACATCTAACTTTCTTCCACCCATCTTCCACCCACATTCATTTCAGGAGGGACTCTTCAATATATAATGTTTAGTTGCCCTTCAATATCAATGAACAAGAGAAAATTTCAGCAGAGAGTAGGAAAGTTAGTTTGCATGTTCTGGAAATTATATGCAATTTGTATATATTTGTATATGTATGTGTTTATTTATTTATTTATTAAGCCAACAGTTCCCCCCCAGTTGATTTTGTAATGCAAAGGCACAAAACAAATCACAAAACTGAATTTTGAAATTTAGATAGTAAATATATGTTATCTTTGACCTAATTGCTGCTTTCTTTTTTGTGCATTTTGTTCTTTTTATCTTTAATCCCAGCATGTCAGTTCTCAAGCATTTGGACTGATCTTTTTATGTTTATACAATTTTTCATCTGTGTTATATTAGGTGAGTTGGATTAAACTTCCAGCCTCCACAGACTGTAGGAATTGCTGTTAGCTATACACAATGGAATTGAATGAAGTAAAAACAAGCACTAGTTCTTGTGTTGGAGTTTTTGCTTTTCTGGAGGTGAAATTTTGTTAGAAGACATCTGATTCTAAGGTGCAATTGGAGGAGCAGGTCTGTGAATGAAAGCAATTTGAGAATACTCTCTTATTTGTGAATGCTCTGGCATGTGAAGATGAGGCAGTAAATTGCTGATACCAGGCCATGTCAATCTCTTGATTTTGAGTCTGTGTACATCAATGTGTATGTCTCTGTACAAGAATGTAAACAAGAATCAGGCAGCTCCATTTTAATATACTTTCTAGAATATAGAACTGGAAAACCTCTGACATCTCTGTATAGAAGTAGCACTCACAAAAGGAGATTTGACTGCATAGAACATGTATGTTCTGCTGCTATAGCACACAAACAGATAGCTTCTGAAGAACACTTTATAACAAATCTTATATGGAAAATAATAAGAATGGTCATGTTGTTTTAGACAACCAAATCCACTAAGTTCAATATCCTTCTTGTAGTAACCAATCAGATACTTTGGGAAACTGAAACACAGGAGGTGAATTTGGAAGCCTAGTCACAATCAAACACATAATGTCTCTTGATATTGAAGGTTCTGCTGAATTCTGTCCTATGTTGGTTTACAATTTTTCTCTTCAGATTTAATGTTACATCATATGTGCATATTCACTACTGAGTATGAGTACTCAATGGCCATCACTACTTATTGCAAATCTAATCAAAAAGTTCAAATTGGAATATGCTTAGTAGTTTCTACATTTAGCCAAGAAAAATCAAATGCACAGGTATAAAATAGATGGTGCCTGGCTTAATAATAGTAAGTGTGAGAAGGATCTTAGAGTCCTAGTGAAAAATCACTTAAATAAAAAAAGCAAAAAAAAAAGGCAGCCTAAAGAGTCCTAGGTTGCATTGACAGAGGGATAGAATCAAGATCATGTGAAATGTTAATACCACTTTATAATGCCTTGGTAAGACCATATGTGGAATATTGCATTCAGTTTGATCACCAGGATATAAAGTGCAAAAAAGTGCAAAGAACAACAAAGAGGATTAGGGGACTGGAAGCTAAAAATATGAAGAACGGTTACAGGAATTTAATTTAATAAAAAGAAATAGGAGTGTCATGATAATAGTGCTCCAATATTTAAGGGACTATTACATATGAGTAGTTTTATTATTATTTTCCAAAGCACCTAAAGGCAAAACAAGAAGCAAAGGATGGAAACTAATCACGGAGAGAAGCAACCTAGAAATAAGAAGACATTTTCCCGACAGTTAGAACAATTAATCAATGGAATGGCTTGCCTCCAGCAGTTGTAGGTACTCCTGGAAGCACCTTTTTAAGAAGAGATTAAACAACCATTTGTCTGGAATGGTAGTCTCCTGCCTGAGCAGGGGGTTGGAGTCCAAGGTCCCTTCCAACTCTGTTATTCTGTTATTTTCTCTCCAGTAACTCTTTTGCTGCAAACTCTGTAAACTGTTCTTTCACTAAATTCTGGATATAACTTAATCTTTCCAAATATGTTTCAATGTATTAAGTGAGGTATATCCTACTAATTTCAGTGGAACAGAATTAAGCATATATAATGTATGTTAAGTATTGGAATAAATGGAATCCCATCTTAATTTTACATGGAATGTGTTCATTATGTGGGAACATATCAAAAGAACCTACAGCCACATAGTAAACACTATGTGGTATGAACATATACTGCTCACAAAAATAAAGGGAACGCAAACCCCTTCAGTTCCATGGTAAAATGTTCCCTTTATTTTTTTGAGCAGTATATGTGTTAACTCTACTAATGGGATTTTTCATGAATGACTTAGAGGCTTAGAGACTGAAGCACCTATTCAACCCCTTTTCTCAATGAAGGTGTACTCAGAGAGAAGGTATAAAACTTTTTTTCTCTATCTGCAATAATAAGGAGGAAATTCACTCTGTGGTGTTGATAGAGGAATATAACTCAGGCAGTTGAGGTACACATTCCTTTTTATGAATGCATTTGAAATTGTTCAGTGAAAGGACAAAACATTGAAGAATCATTTATTCTGCAACATCAGCAACAATTGTAGTAAAATGCAAATTAACCTTGTATTTTTTTGTCTTTTTATTTATTTCTTTTATCAACAAGAATAAAATACAAAACAGGAAAGCAGAAAAACAAACATTCAACACAAGAATGAAAATATTGTGTACAAAAAAATAAATAAAGCCTCAAATGTCAAATAGATCTAACATTGAACATAAAAAATTCACCCTGGCTAGATACTAAAAGGTAAATAAAAAAACCTGATATGTTCTCCTCCCCTTAAACAATGTGTCTACAAATAGTCATAAGCTTTCCCATCCTTATTTACCAAAAATACTAGGTTAAATAATCAAATATTCCAGATGAGGAAGTCTCTGTCTAATAAACAAATTGACCCAACATCTAATCATAATATATATGTAAAAAAAGAAAAAAACCCAGTCAACCGGTTAGCCCAAACATTACACTAATCTTCAGATATCTTTGTTAACTATCTATTATTGTATTTAACATGCAGAAAATCCACAAATGGCTTCCTGCTTCTTATAAAATTGGCCAATCTTTTGTCTCTAATCAAGCCAGTTAATTTTGCCATCTCTGCTAATTCAGTCAATTTTAAAAACCACTCTTCAACAGTCAGCATCTCTTTTCCTTGCCAATTTTAAATTAATGTCCTAGCATACTGTGCTTCTTAACAGTGGCGATCCCAGACCCAGTCAGGAAGAACTAAGACATCACATAAAAAACTGAATTTGAATTTCTAAGATAACAATTTCTATTTTTGCCATAAAAAGTATCAAACTGTCAGCTTGTTTTTTCCATTAATAAAAATGTGAGATATACAAGCACTTGTGTTTTCTATCTCTGTAAAATATTCCACGATAACTGATCATGCTAGTGGATTCTTCCAACATGTGAAACCAAAACCAGAATACAATAAAGCTGTGATGTAATTGTAACTTCATGGGTTGTAAAAATCCATTATCATTGATGATATGTGAACCAGATCTGTTTGTTAATATAAAAATTAATTATTAATTAATATTCTGTCTCTGGTTTGGCTTCATGAGAGTCCATCCTAATTAAGCCATTTTTCTAAGTCAACGATACATTTAACCAGTGCTTTTTTTCTAAAAAGAAAAGGTGCCGGAACTCACACATGTCACACAACCCGCCTTGCCTACCCTACAAGGTTCCATCCAAAAAAGTGCTGGAACTCCTTTCTGGGCGTTCTATGAGAAAAAAAGCCCTGCATTTAACTATAATAATATTAGATAGAAACAATAGACCAATTATGACCAATCATATATAAAAATATGAAAAAATTCAAGCAGCATGTGTTTAAATTCAGGAAAATATAAAGCAAAAGAGAACAAGAAGGAAAAATCATATTAATAAAGCGCCTAGTTACCTTATATTTAAACATTACAGTTTTATTTACCCTTTTCATTTATTGCCTGAATTTCACTTTATCCCTATATGAGTAGCTTGTTTCTGTGGGCTGCGTTGTACAGAGCAAACCCTAGAAACCCACAGAAGCTGTTTGAACAGAAAATAAGAAGGAAGCATCAAACTCTGTGGATCTTCTTTAAATAAAACTTGGTTTTGACAAATATGGTTTCAAGAGGCAGTTCAAAAAGTTGACAATTTCTCTCTCCTTTTTACTGGTTGCAAAGGTTATCTACATTTGATGAAAGGATAGCACATTCCAATGAACCTTTGTAAATCATTAGATTAATTAAACAACAAACTGGTTTCATTGCAAGCAACTCAGAAGAATTAAATAGAAAGAGAGCTTGTTACAAAGTTAATAACAGTTAGCTTACAGTTTTGTCTTTCACCTTTGCCAGGAGCAATTATTTTAGCTGAAAACCCAATATGCAATTGCAGACAGCAGAAGGAATTTTCATACAGTTTTCTCCTCAGTAACTTCAAGTGCTTATTCATCTTTCTTCATTAGTATTGAATCAAAAAGAGCGTTAAAATCAATGAAGGCTACATATAGCACTCTGAATTTATTCATGTACATCTCCATCTCCATGCTGTAGAATTAAGTCTTGTTTCTGGTCAGAGTAAAGGTAAAGATAAAGTTTCCCCCTATTCAGTGTATCTTTAGGCTTTAGGCAATGGTGCTCATCTCTGTTCCTTAGCCCAGGGATCAAGTGATGTCTGAAGATATTTCCACGGCCATGTGTCCAGCATGACTATACGCCAATGCATACGGAACACTGTTACTTTCCCACTGAAGGGGAATCTACTCACATTTGCATGCTTTAGAACAACTAAGTGAGCAGCAGCTGGGGCAAGTAATGGGAGCTCACACCATCACGCAATGCTTGGCTCTCCCTAGCTTTCTCCATGATCCAG